CCAGCACTGGGCATGGCCTTCCCCGCTGCTTCGTCGCTGTCGCTCCGCTGCCGCCCTGGCGCCGCCTTCTGCTCTCCGATGCTCCTGTGGTGGACTGCCGCCGCTTTTCTTTTTTTCGTGTTCCGGATCACTTCCGTTGAACGCTTGCACGCCCTTCATCGTCCTCTTCGGCTTCATGGTGGTCTTCGAGTTCTTCGGCTTCTCGCCCCCCGCCATCCTGGCGTTGCACGTTGACCTGGTGCTCTTCTAGGCCCCCCGCGTTCTGAGCCGCAGTGTAGCCCGCTACTGCGCGTTTAGTGGGTAATTCAGGCCGTCGCATCGACCGTTCGTTCTGACGGCGCCCGGCGTCTTCCAGTGCGCTTGCGATCAAAGAAAAGTAACCCCGCACCAGCCCATCCAGAAACGATGCCCAGAGGAATTGCCTCGATCAGGGAGGTGGGCAGCACACAGAGGAAGGGTCCCCAAGTGGAGGCCTCTTGGAGCGCCTTGGGGGCCTCTTGGCGGTCCCGGGCGCCTCTTAGAGAGTGTCTTGGGTGCCTCGCAGAGCTTCTTGGGGCTTGTTGGGGGGTCTATTGGGAGCCTTTTGGAGGCCTCTTAGGCGCCTGTCGGGGCCTCCTGGGCGCCTCTTGGGGCCCTCTTGAAGCGCTCTTGGATGCCTTGGGAACGCTTTTGGAGCCCTCTTGGGCCATATTGGAGCCATCCTGAGGCCTCGGGCGGCCAGCGGAAGCGAAAAGGCGAGAAAGCCAATGACATCGATGTTCGTAAGGTTTTGGAAGGATTTGGGCCTCTTCGGGGCCTGTTGGGGGAGCTCTCTGGCCACTTGGAGCCGTCTTGGAGCGGTCTTGGGGCCGTTCGGAGCATCGTGGGAGCCATTCTGAGGCATGTTGGGGTATCTTGAGCCATCTTGGAGGTCATCTTGGGCTCGGCGCTCTTGGAGTCATCTTCATCAGTGCCCCCCCTTCCACCTCCCCGGGGAGGACAAGCTGCCGCCAAAATCTTCGTAAAATCAATGATTTGGTATTCTCGCCAAGGCCCCTTGGGGCGTCTTGGGTGCCTCTGGGGGGCCTCTTGGGGGTCTCTTGGGAGCCTTTTTGGGGCATCCTCGGGGCCTTTTTGGAGGCCTCTTGGGGCCTCCTGGCCACCTCTTGTGACCTTTTTTGGGGCACCCTTGGGAGCCTTGGGAGCGTTCGGGGGGCCATCTCGGAGGAGATCGATCCAAACGCAGGAGGTCCTGAATTAGCCTCGCCCCCCCAAGAGGCCAAAATGAGGCCAAAACCAAAGTAAAACCAATGATTGTGGCTTCCTCGCCGAGGCCGTTTTGGACCCCTTGAACGCTCGCGGGGCGCCCCGTCCAGGTCCAGGGGAGGGAGGGGGGTGAGGGGAGGGGCAAACCCTCTCCCCGAAGGGGAAGAACGGGGGTTGGAAGAGGAGCCACCTCAAACCGCCTACGCCCAGAGGGCTGGCGGGATTTGACTTCGCCAGCCCCGACGGGCTGCGACATGCGAAACTGTCGCCATTTTCGCTGGCTGCGGGGGGGCTGGGGCAGCGCAGCGACGTCTCACCCGGATTCGAATTTGACCTCGCCATCCTCGGGGGCTGCGATCTGCAAAACCGGCGCCACTTTCGAGGGTTGATGTTAGCTGCGAAGGGGGTCCAGCGGAGTGAGACACCACCCAGACTCAGATTAGGTCTCGCCCTCCCTGGTGGCTGCGATCTTCGAAAGCGTCGTCATTTTCGAAGGCTGCTGGGCGGGTCAGCGGAGTGACGTACCAACAAGACTCATATTAGAACCCGCCATCCTTGGGGGGCTGCGATATGCGAAAGTGCCGCCACGTTGGAGGTTTGGTTGGGGGTCCCGCGGGGCGCTGTCGCGGGCCGCCCGCAGACTTGGCGGCGCGCCTTCGAGCGTTTAGCTCGTGCACTGAGAAGTGCAGGGAGGAAGCAGGGAATCTGGCGGGCGAGCTAGGCCTCGCTCGCCCTTTGCACTAACAGTAAGCAGGTTCAATCATTTTGTCGAGAGCCGCGACGTCATGGCGCAGGCAACGCTGCATTTTTCGCGAAATACAGACAAAGGAAACAGTGTTCGGTTTCCCCCCGTCACTTTAGTCCCCTGCCTCTGCCACCTTCCCTCTGCTGCTGCCGCGCTGACGGTTCGGCCCCCGACGCGTCGTTATCCTGCCTTTCGTTCCCGCCCCCATGCCGTCCTCCTCAAGCCCGGGCTCTCGTTCGTCATTCTGTTGTTGTCCTGTGAATAGTGCCACGTGAACGCGCCCTGTGTAGCTTGCACGACATATAACGGCGTTTGTGCTGTCGTTGTCCTGGTAAATTTGGGCCAGCTCGTCTTGTCACTTGATGCACATGGGTTGGGCACGTCGCTGAGTAATGCGACAGGGCTGGGGGCACGTCGCATGGGGGGACACGTCGCATGGGGGGTGCCCGCATTGGTCCTGGTTGGTTGCTGGTCGCCTGGGGGAGGGGATGCATAATCGAAAAAGCATACGGCGAATCGCCGCCGCCCCTCTGTTTTTTTGGACGCGCCTATGTGGCCGAACGTTGAGGCCAGACCTGCCAAGCTATCGGACCAGATGTTCCCCAAATCGGTTTGGAAAGCCTTCGGGGAACACGTGGGCATCTTGAAGGTCATCCTGGGTGTCTGGAGGCTATGTTTGACCCTTTCCGGGCCTTCTTGGAGTACGTCTTGGAGGGTTCCTGGGCCGTTTTGGAGGCCATCTTGAGCGTTTTGGAGGCCTCTTGGGCCGTTTTGGGGGCCTCTTGGGGCCGTCTCGGGCAGTCGGAAGGCAGACAAGCAAAACAAATGCCACAATCCTTCAACAACCCATGGGAAATCAATGATTTTGGCTTTTCGGGGCTTCCCTGGAGGCCCTCTTGGAGGCCTCGTGGGCCGCCTTGGGCCATCTTAGGACCATCTTCGGCAGTGTTGGTGGGCTCCTGGCCCGTCCGACGCCGTCGGAAGCCGTTTGGGGGGCCTCTCTGGGCCGACTTGGGGCCCTCTTGGAATGCTCTAGGGCCGTCTTGGAGGCCACCTTGGGTTTCTTAAAAGCCTCCTGGGCCATCTTGGCGGCCTTTTGGGGTCGTCTTGTGGGAGCTCATTGGCCACTTCGAGCCGTCTTGGAGCGATCTTGGGACCTCTTGGAGCATCGTGGGAGTCATTCTGAGGCATCTTGGGTTATCTTGAGCCATCTTGGAGGTCATCTTGGGCTCTCCCAGGCGCTCTTGGAGTCATCTTAATCAGTGCCCCCCTCCCCCCCATGACGCCAACATGTTGCCAAAATCTTGGTAGTATCAATGATTTGGCATTCTCGCCAAGGCCCTTTGGGGCGTCTTGGGTGCCTCTGGGGTGTCTTCTTGGGGGTCTTTTGGGGGTCTCTTGGGAGCCTCTTGGGGGCATCCTGTGGGCCTTTTGGGGGCCCTCCTGGGGCCTCCTGGCCACCTCATGGGGCACCCTTGAGAGCCTTGGGAGCGTTCGGGGGGCCATCTCGGAGGAGATCGATCAAAGAAGGGGAGGTCCTGAATTAGCCTCGCCCCCCCAAGAGGCCAAAATGAGGCCAAAACCCTAGCGTTATTGACAGGTCAATTGAGGACAATGGCACTCCATATGCATGGTGGCGGGTGGCTTGATCCCATTATGCATGGTGGCGGGTGGCTTGGTCCCATTGTATACATCTTGCCCCATCATTTCTCTTTCATTACGCTCTCCCCATTCCTATGCCAGCTCTTTGTTCGAGGCAGCCACGCGGATCGAGCATCGATACTCTTTGCTTTTTCCCGCCCGCCCTCCCAATTGGGGGGGGGAGAAGGCGTCGCCTGAAGGTTGAGGGCCGCCGCCGCTGGCACGCGCCCGCTACTTTCACCTCCACGAGGCTGATGGTTCACGCCCCAAGGGCCAGGATCATCTTCGGGTGTTTCCTTCGCCTCCACGAGGCTGGCGGCCCACGCCCACGGGCCGGGGCCGCCTCCGGGATTGCACCTTCGCCTCCACGAGGCTGGTGGTTCACGCCCACGGGCCAGGATCATCTTCGGGTCTTCCCTTCGCCTTCACGAGGTTGGCGGCCCACGCCCCACGGGCCGGGGCCGCCTCCCGGGTTGCACCTTCGCCTCCACGAGGCTGGCGGTCCACGCCCCCCGGGCCGGGGCCGCCTCCCGGGTTGCCCCTTCGCGCCTCTTCGAGGTTGATGGTCACGCCCCACGGGCCGGACTCATCTGCGGGGCTTCCCCTTTCGCCTCCACGAGGCCGGCGGTCGGGCTCCGCGGGCCCGCATCGTCTTGCGCAACGCAGTCGCTTCACTCAGTCACAACGGACCTGCCGTAGCCATTCTGGCTCGAGGCAGCCACGCGGATCGAGCAATCGATACTCTTTGTTTTCTCCCCATCTCTCCTTAACGTACTTCCCATTCTCTCTCTTACATCGTTTGCCTGCGCGGTTTGCTTACCCTACGATCGATGGCATTGTTTCCACCAGAGGCCACTGCCATGTCATGGACATCAGTGACGGAAGTTGTCCAAGATGTGCGTCTGTCGGCTAGTGTGTTTCGAGCTGTCGAGGCGCAGTTGGGAGACTTTCAAAATCACATCCCGCTGATGTCGATAATCCCCGCGCCGATGCTCCATGTGGTAATCAAGACCACACAGATTGACAGCAATGCCGGGTATGGGGACGAGCCGTCCATGCGTGGGCTCACCCCTTTGGAAGCAAGCCAGGTGGGCCTGATCTGGCGCATCTGCAAACGCATTTCGTGGACAGCCGGCGGGCAGAGATGGGGCGACTTCGTGGACATGGATCCGTTCCAGGCGCCTGCGGCCCGTCCGGCCGCGGCCGGGTCCGGGGCAGCGCCGGCGGCGGCTCCAACGATCGAAGAGAAGGTCGTCAAATTGTCCGCCGTGCTCGACCAGGGTGACGATGGCGAGGTGCAGGTCGCTGATGCACCCACACAGGCCCAGCGGCACGCCAACAGCAGCAGGTCTTCGCCGCCCCGGCGGAGGACGCGGAACCTTCGGCGGAGCAGCTCACGGCCCTCAGCCACAGGGTCAACGACCGCGGTTGCTCGCCGCACGCTGACTTCGCGCTGTGGGGGCCGTTTGCCCGCTTGGGCGCGCGCGCCGTGAAGTTCCGCGCCTGGTACCCGACCGGCGACGGCTCCTTCGCGGCCGAGGAGCTCCCCGGCCCGGGGAACCTGCAGCACTGGGAGGCGGCCTGGCAGGTCTTCGCCTCGGCCTGCATCGTGTTCATGGCTGCGGCCCGCTCCGCGCTCGAGCGCTACGCGGAGAAGATCCGCAAGCTCGTGCAGCTATGGCCGGATTGCTGGCATCTGATTGCCACGGCGGATGACCAGATGCGTGCGGAGCACATGGTCCGCCTAAAACGCCGCTACGAGGCCAAACTGGCGGCCGGGCAGACGCCTGCTCCAGACTGGAACAGCGCAGCGCCCTGGTCCACCGCGCGCCGCCTTGCGGCCGACGACGAGGCATTCTGGGGTGCTCACGTGCGGCACCCGGCTGCTGCGTGGGTGCCGCGCGGCGGTCGCGGCGTCCTGCTCGCGCCCGAGGGGGCGGTGGCCATGGCCGACCTGCCAGGAGGCCTCGCGGCCATTGCGCCACCGACAGAGCAGCGCCCCGCGGCGGGCAAGCGGCGCAAGACCGGCACGCAGCAGCAGCGCCCCCAGCAGGCGTCGGGAAACGGGGGCCTCCGCCGACTGCCCACGGCAGCTCGGCGGGGGCTCCGCGCCAAGCAGACGAACGACTCCCAGAAAGCCTAGGGGCCCGAGGCGTGCAAGATCTGGGACCAGGGCAACCCGGCGAACGAGCGCGGCAAGTTGGGAACGCCCGCCCTCGACTTGCCCGAGGGGCCGGGTCCACAAGTGCGCCAAGTGCGGCGATACCTCGCACAAGGCGCCGGACTGCCGGCGCCGCTGACCCCGGCTCCGGGGTCGCCGGGCGCTGTCGCTGAGGCCCCCGACAGCGCCTTGGTCCGAGTGGGCCAGCGGGGCAACGCGTTAGTCAGGCGCCCCACCAGCGCCGCCGCGGCAGCCGGGCAGCCGGCCGCGCAGCCAGCCCTCGCGGAGGTCACACGCCCCGCGCCGACGGCCGCGGCCCCGGACTCCCGGCAGGAGCGCCGTGAGCAGGAAAACCATCTCTGCGTTGGTGGCCTGCGCTCAACGGCGGCCTCCGTCGCGCGCCTGCCGCGCCTCTGCGCCCTCGGCAAGGAGGTTGCAGCCTTGTGCGACGATTGGGTTTCGGAGTACCCGGAGGCTACCACTTGTGGCGCGGCGTTTCGGTGACAAGAGTTACACAGGCCCAGACAGGCACCTCGTCGAGGTCTGGAGATCCCGGCTGCGCGAGCATCTCGGCGCCCCGCCTGAAAGCCAGGTCGCACACGAGTGGGGGCAGCCCTCGCCGCTGCAAGCGGAGCTGCTGCACGCCTGGCTGCAGGCTGGCGGAGACCCCGGAACCTGCCTCCGGGATTGGTGCCATGGTGGGTGCGCCGCTGGGCGTGGCGGTGCCCATCCCCACTTGCGGCGCATTCCCCGCTGTGCCCGCGGCCGAGAGCTCTGGCACCTCTGGTAGATTGGATTTAGCCCTGGCGCAAGGCGTGTTCAATCACCAGTCGATTTCCGACGACCCTGAAGGCTCGGCGGCGGAGGTGCACCGCTATCTGGAACAGGACTTCGCAGTCTCGCTTCCTGATCCCGTCGCCCAGCAGAGGTTTCCCGCGGGGTGAGGCACCGCGCAGACCTGAGCGGGACCTCGCCGTCCCTGGGGGGCCGCGATCTGCGAGCCTGTCGCCACTTTCGAGGGCTGCTGGTGGGTCTCTCAGAGTGAGGCACCGCGCGGACCTGAGCGGGGCCTCGCCGTCCCTGGATGGTTGCGATCTGCGAAACTGTCGCCAGTTTCGAGGGCTGCTGGTGGGTCCTGCGGAGTGAGGCGCCGCGCGGACCCGAGCGGGACCTCGCCATCCCTGGGGGGCTGCGATCTGCGAAACTGTCGCCACCTTCGAGGGCTGCTGGCGGGTCTTGCGGAGTGAGGCACCGCGCGGACCTGAGCGGGGCATCGCCGTCCCAAGGGGGCTGCGATCTGCGAAGCTGTCGCCACTTTCGAGGGCTGCTGGCGGGTCCTGCGGAGTGAGGCACCGCGCGGACCTGAACGGGACCTAGCCGTCCTTGGCGGGCTGCGATTTGCGAAGGTGTCGCCACCTTCGAGGGCTGCTGGCGGGTCGGTCCTGCGGAGTGAGGCACCGCGCGGACCTGAGCGGGACCTCGCCGTCCCTGGGGGGGGGCGATCTGCGAAACTGTTGCCACCTTCGAGGGCTGCTGGTGGGTCCTGCGGAGTGAGGCGCCGCGCGGACCTGAGCGGGACCTCGCCGTCCCTGGGGGGCCGCGATCTGCGAGCCTGTCGCCGCTTTCGAGGGCTGCTCGTGGGTCTCTCAAAGTGAGGCACCGCGCGGACCTGAGCGGGACCTCGCCATCCCTGGGGGGCTGCGATTTGCGAAATTGTCGCCGCTTTCGAGGGCTGCTGGTCCTGCGGAGTGAGGCACCGCGCGGACCTGAGTGGGACCTCGCCGTCCCTGGGCGGTTGCGATCTGCGAAACTTTCGCCACTTTCGAGGGCTGCTGGTGGGTCCTGCGGAGTGAGGCACCGCGCGGACCTGATCGGGACCTAGCCGTCCCTGGGGGGCTGCGATTTGCGAAACTGTCGCCACCTTCGAGGGCTGCTGGTGGGTTTTGCGGAGTGAGGCACCGCGCGGACCTGAGCGGGACCTCGCCGTCCCTGGGGGGCTGCGATTTGCGAAACTGTCGCCACGTTCGAGGGCTGCTGGCGGGTCCTGCGGAGCGAGGCACCGCGCGGACCTGAGCGGGACCTCGCCGTCCCTGGGGGGCTGCGATTTGCGAAACTGTCGCCAGTTTCGAGGGTTGCTGGTGGGTCCTGCGGAGCGAGGCACCAGCCAGATCTGAGCGGGACATTGCAATCTATGGGGGGCTGCGAGCCTCACGAATGCCGCTCGCAGAAGTATATGTGCCCATGTCACGTCATCACCTCCGTATTATAACGTCTCCCAAACTACTCATGCCCCGCATTGCGCAGGGGTTGGGTACGTCGCCAGGGTAATTGTTCATAGAGTGACTCCTACTCGGGGGTCCCACACATCCCCTGACATCTGGCCGGTACCGCGCCTCCCGGTTTCCTGGTGGGAGACCCCAAGACGTCGAAGGGCAGCCCATGACGACCTCTAGGAGCACCCAGAACGTAAAGAACGGCCCAACACGCTCCCACGCAGCCCGAGGCACCCTTCTGGCGGCTCTCCAGGTCTCCAGGAGGCCTCCAGAAGCTCCAGGGGGTCCGGAAGATCCCACACCCGTGAGGGGCCCGGCTAACAAAGCCCGCTAGGCACAAACAAAACACAGCGCCGAACAGCGCCGATGATTTGGAAAAACATGTAAATCCCACAATTCCTTGTTTTTCCAGTTTGGCCCCCGATCTACTCTTGCAAAACAGACCACAATTCAGACCCCCCTCACCTCCCAAAAAGGAACCCACGAAGCCTTTGAGGGCCCCAAGCCATTGAATACATAAATATGAAATTACTAATTTCTGTGTTTCCGCACTTCCCCTTCTATACGATTCCGCGGCTTGAGCAGGGCCTCCAAGGGAGTCCATGGACGCAAGAAGCGACCAACATGAGATAGCATGAATTATCCGATCAATCCCAGCTAGAACTTGAGCGTGCGCGAAGCGCGCGCGATGGTTCTAGTACATATATATATATATATATATATATATACATATATACACACATAAACATATACATATATATTATATATATATATATATATATATATATATATATATATATATATGTATATATATATATGTATGTATGTATGTATGTATGTATGTATGTATGTATGTATGTATGTATGTATGTATGTATGTATAGATACACATACATACATGTGTGTTTTGAAAACAATAGCTTTATAAATGAAGCATTTGCGGGAAACCATCGTTTTAGCCCTTTTTTGGCCTTCCTGAGGGCCCCCTTGGAGGCCTCTTGGGCCGTCTTGGGCCAGCTTCGAGCCAACTTCGGCCATCTTGGTGGGCTCCTGGCCCGTCTGACGCCGTCGGAGGTTTTTGGGGAGGCCTCTCTGGGCCGACTTGGGGCCCCGTTGGGGTGCTCCAGGGCCGTCTTAGAGGCCATCTTGGGCGTCTTGGAGGCCTCTTGGGTTGTCTTTGTGCCCTCTTGGGGCCGTCTTGGGGCCCTCTTGGGCCGTTCTGGGGCCATCTTGGAGGCCTCTTGGGCGCTGTGGGGGCGTGGGGGCCTCTTGGGCCGTCTTGGGTCGTCGGAAAGCCGAAAAGGAACACATACGAACAACGGCTGAAAACCAAAGGAAAATATATGATTTTAGCCTCTTCGGGTCCTCCTGGAGGGAGGAGCTCTCGGAGGCCTCTTGGGCTGTCTTGGAGACCTCTTGGGCACCTCTTGGGCCCTCTTGGGCCGTCTTGGAGGTTTCTTGGGCGGACTTGGCGGCATGTCCTCCTCTCCTGGGCCGTTTTGGAGGCCATCTTGGAGGCCATCTTGGGCCAACGTGGCCATCTTGGAGGCCATCTTCAGCTGTTATGGAGGATTTTTTCCCAACCCTCCTGCGTTGGGTACTCGTTCTGAATAGAGCACTGCGGTCTCCGTTCTCCTCCTCCCGCCCCCCCCTCTCTTCCCTCCTCCTCTCCTCTCTTGCTTGCCTTCTCCTCCTCTCTTCGCTCCTCCTCTTCTCTTCTGTTGCCTTTCACGTCATCCCTGGCGGGCTGCGATCTGCGGAACTGTCACCACTTTCGAGGGCTGCTGGTGGGTCCAGCGGAGTGAGGCACCACGGGGACTCAGATTAGACCTCGCCATCTCTGGGGGGCTGCGATCTGTGAAACTGTCGCCACTTTCGAGGGCTGCTGGTGGGTCCAGCGGAGTGAGGCACCACGGGGACTCAGATTAGACCTCGCCATCTCTGGGGGGGGGCTGCGATCTGTGAAACTGTCACCACTTTCGAGGGCTGCTGGTGGGTCCAGCGGAGTGAGGCACCACGGGGACTCATATTAGACCTCGCCATCCCTGTGTGAAACTGTCGCCACTTTCGAGGCTGCTGGTGGGTCCAGCGGAGTGAGGCACCACGGGGACTCAGATTAGACCTCGCCACCCCTGGGCGGCTGCGATCTGTGAAACTGTCGCCACTTTCGAGGGCTGCTGGTGGGTGGCCAGCGGAGTGAGGCACCACGGGGACTCAGATTCTGACCACGAGCAATGCTCGCGTGCCCTTGCTCTGCGGTTCGTGCCACGTGGCGCTGCGACTCGAGCTGGCGGTCGTCCTTCGGGCCCGCAGAAACATCTGCTGAGCTCGATGAGCTAGGGGAACTACAGGAAAGAAGTGCAGGAAACGGAGGCCGGTCATGCACTCGCCGATACCTCGTTGCTCTGTCATCGTCTTTGCTGTTGCATGATCCTTATCTGGCCTGCCGGCGCCGCGGCTCGAGCTGGCGGTCGCCCTTCGGGCCCGCGGGAACATCTTCTGAGACAAGTGGACGCCGCCGCCTTACTTGCAGGCAGCGCATTGCATTCGCGGACAGCAGCATGGCAGACCGCAGTGAGATCCTCAGTCGCGTGGTGTTGCCAAGCCTGGTGGAGACGCGCGTGATCGACCTGAAGTCCCAATCGCGCGTGCACTGTACCTGCGTGGCGTTCAGGCACGCGCGTGATGCTGCTCGCTCCGCGTTCAACCAGTACGTCGCCAGTGCAACTTTGGACGATGGACAACCGATTGATGATACGCGACCCCGGCCTTGAGTTTCTTTCCCGCGGGCCGCCCGCAGACCTGGCGGCGCGCCTGCGAGCGTTCAGCTCCCGCGCTGAAATGTGCGGGAAGGAGGCGGAGAAGCTAGCGGGCGAGCTACGCCTCGCTCGTTCCTTGCACTCTAAACAAGTTTTATCATGTGGAACTCTGCGACGACATGGCGCAGGCAGCGCTGCGGGTTTAGCTCGCACTTGAAAAACGCGGCAGTCTTCTGTCTCCTCCCGCCACTTTCATCGTCGTCCTATTTCCCGCCTCACCTTCTCCATGCATGCTGCTGCTTCCGCGATGGCCTTTTCGCCCCCCCCGCCCTCCATTCCATCCCTCTCCTACCCCTCGTTCCCGTGCCCGTTTTTCTTCGATCCTGGGGCCTCAAGCCTCGTTCTTTCGATCGTCGTCCTGTGAATCGCGCAACGCATGCGCATCCCATGTAGCTTGCACAGCAAATCGCCGCGTCTACACTGTCGTTGTTCCTGCTAATGTTGGCATACTCCTCTTGCCATTTGATGCACGTGGGTTGGGCACGTCGCAGGGTAATTGCCGGATTGGGGATTTTCCGGGTCGCCGGCGGGACGCGCCAGAGCCCCAGGGGGAGTTCTTTTGGAAACAGAAACAAAACCAAAACCGAAAGGATCCAGCACGCCAGGCACCCCTGCGATGAATCGACAGGGGGCGGCGGATCGAAGACGCCTACGGCGAATCACCGCCGCCCCCTGCCTTTTGGGAAGCGCCTCTGTGGCCGACAGCTGGGTCAGAGCTTGTCCAAGCTATCGAGCCAGTTGTTCCCCGGGTCGGTTTGGAAAGACTTCGGTGAACGCGTTGGGGAGCAAGAAGAGGAGGAGGGGGAGGATGAGTAAAAAAGAGGAGGAGGAGGAGGCCTCTTGGGCGCCTCTTGGGCACTATTGGGGCCTCCTGGGAGTTTCCTGGGGGCCTCTTGGAGGGTTTTGGGGGGCGTTTGGGGGCTTCTTGGGGGCCTTTTTTGGCCGTCTTAGGACGTTCCTGGGTTGTCTGACGCTGTCGGAAGCCGTCTTGGGGGCCTGTCTGGGTCGTCTTGGCTCTTGGGCCGTCATGGGGCCATCTTGGAGGCCTCGTGGGCGATCTTGGGGGCCTCCTGGGCTGTCCTGGGCCGTTGGAATGCCGGAAAGAAGCAAATACTTGAATCTTTCAAAGACCAAAGAAGATGAATGATTTTGCTCTCTTCGGGCCCTCCTGGAGAACCTCTTGGAGGCCTCGTGGGCCGTCTTGGAGGCATGTTGGAGGCCTCTTGGGCCGTCTTAGGCCATCTGGAGGCCACCGTAGGCCGTCTTGGGTGCATCTTGGGCCGTCTTGGAGGCATCCGGAGGTCATCTTAGCCGTCTTGGACGCATCTTGGCGGCCATCTTGGAGCCATCTGGGGCAGGAAAACCCTCGGCAGCCACCTCTGGGCAATCCTTTCGGGTGGCCGGCGGGACGGGCCGAAGCCCCAGGGGGAGTTCTTTTGGAAACAGAAACAAAACCAATAATTTGGCACGCCAGGCACCCCTGCGATGAATCGACAGGGAGCGGCGGCTCGAAGACGCCTACGGCGAATCACCGCCGCCCCCTGCCTTTTTGGAAGCGCCTATGTGGCCGAGTGATGAGGCCAGACCTGCCAAGTTATCGGAGCATGTGTTCCCCGAATCGGTTTGGAAAGCCTTCGGGGAACACGTGGGCATCTTGAAGGTCATCTTGGCCGTCTGGAGGCCATTTTGACTCTTGCGGCCTCCTTGGAGGACGTCTTGGAGGGCTCTTGGGCCGTCTTGGAGGCCATCTTGAACGGGAGGCCTCTTGGGCCGTCTTGGGGGCCTCTTGGGGCCGTGTCTGGGGCCTCTTCGGTGATCTTTGGGGGCACTTGAGCCGCCTCGGGCCGTCGGAAGGCAGAACAAAAGCAAATGCCACAATCCTTCAAACAACCACGAGAATTCAATGCTTTGGGCCTTTTCGGGCCTTCCTGGAGGCCCTCTCGGAGGCCTCTTGGGCCGTCTTGGGCGATCTTAGGGCCATGGTCGGCCGTCTTGGTGGGCTCCTGGTCCGTCTGACGCCGTCGGAAGCCATTTGGGGGGCCTCTCTGGGCCGACTTGGGGTCATTTTGGAATGCTCCAGGGCCGTCTTGGAGGCCATCTTGGGCGTCTTAAAGGCCTCCTGGGCCGTCTTGGGGGCCTCTTGGGGTCGCCTTGGGGCCCTCTTGGGCCGTTCTGGGGCCATCTTGGAGGCCTCTTGGGCCATCTTTGGGGGCTCTTGGGCCGTCTCGGGCCGTCGGAAGGCCGAAACGAAGCAAATGTCAAAACCCTTCAAGAACCTTTGGACAATACATGTTTTTGGCATCTTCTGGCCTTCCTGGGGGCCATCTTGGAGGCCTCTTGGGCCGTCTTGGGCCAGCTTCGAGCCACCTTCGACCATCTTGGTGGGTTCCTGGCACGTCTGACGCCGTCGGGAGCCGTCTTGGGGGCCTTTCTGGGCCGACTTGGGGCCCTCTTGGGGCGCTTCGGGGCCGTCTTGGAGGCCATCTTGGGCGTCTTGGAGACCATCTTGGGCGTGTTGGAGGCCTCTTGGGCCGTCTTGGAGGACTCTTGGGCCGTCATGGGACCCTCTTGAGGGCCTCTTGGGCGATCTTGGGGGCCTCTTGGGCCGTCTTGGGCCGTCGGAAAGCAGAAAAGGCGTAAAGCCCAAATCGTTCAAACACTTCAGGAACATCAATGATTTGGGCCCTTTCGAGCCTTCCTGGAGGACCTCTTGGAGGGCTCTTGGGCCGTCTTGGAGGCCTCTTGCGGGCCGTTTGTGCCGTCGTGGACCATCTTGAGGCCATCTTGGGCCGTCTTGGATGCATCTTGGAGCCATCTTAGCCGTCTTTGAGGCCATCTTGGCTGTCTTAGAGGCATCTTGGAGGCCATCCTGGGCCATCTTGGCCGTCTTGGAGGCCATCTTGGGCCAACAGAGGCACGACGGATGCGTTTTGAGATCCTTTCCAGGTGGCCGGCGGGACGGGCGGCCGAAGCCCCAGGGGGAGTTCTTTTGGAAAAAGAACCAAAGCCAAAAGCCATGTCGTCTGGCACGCCAGGCACCTTTAATACATCAAAAGGGGGCGGCGGATAATGGCATCTGGCCCATCCCGCCACCGTACCTGGGTTGTGGGTATGAAGCTTACTGGATGTTCGCTGGGATCTCGTGGGAGGCCTTTCGGGTGCCTCTTGGAGGTTGAGGCCCCTTGGGAGCTGTTTTGGGGCCTCTTTAGGGCCTCTTTGGGCCTCTTGGGGGCCTCTTGGCGGCCTCTTTGGGGCTCCTGGGCGCCTCCTGGGACCTCTTGGGGGCCTCTTGGGGCGGGAGGCTCGTATTTTTGTTGTTTGGTTCCCTTTCCTTGGGCGTCTGTTGAGGCCGTTTTAGGGCCCTCTTGGGCCCGGGCCCTCTTGGGAGCCTCTTGGGCCGTCTTCGGGTGAAGCCGCAAACCTTCCACAACCTAAGAAGGATGCCTCTTGGAGTCCTCTTGGGAGGCCTCTTAGAGGCCTCGTGGGGCGTCTTGGAGGCTTTTTTTTGTAAAACTCCACTCCAACCAGCATTGTGCGAGACACCGCAGCCCCTCGCGCGACCCCGGCAGGAGCGTTCCCTGCCGGGGAACATGGGGGCCATCTTGAGCGTCTTGGAGCGATCGCTCGGCGACTTGGGGCCCTCTTCTACTGTCTTCGGGGCCTCTTGGGGCCTTCTCGGCCCGTCCAGGGGCCCCCTGGGGCCCGAACAAACAATGCGACAAGCCGCGTGGCAGCCCAGGGGGCACGCGCCAAGCCCCAGGAGATTTTGGAATTCGGGGTCCAGGACTGAGGACTGGGCCTCCAGGGACTGGGCAGGTGACTTGAGGACACGCCCACTCCGTGCCAAGACAGGGTGGCGAATTTATGGGGAACAGCGACAAAACGCCTCCCCGACGGGGAAGAAGGGGGGGTGGAAGAGGAAACGCTCTAAATCACTCGCGCCCGAAAGGGCTGGTGGAATTCACGGTTGTTCCTTCATTGCAGTTCCCGTGTGGTGGTTGGAGGGCCGACAACCACAGCGGAGCTCAGTCGACGGTGGGTTCGCAGGTTGCTTGATCGCTGCGTGATTTCAGGGGGGGAAGGCAAGCTCACCCTCTCCCTGAGCGGCGCTCCTTCCCTAGGCTGCATCTGGGCCGGTTGCGGCAACACCAGGTGCGCCCTTGCACGCCCCGCCACGCGCTTACAGTTGCCGCTCTCTGTTGGCGAGGGAGGAGGAAGCGGAGCAGAAGTGTTGTTTGTGGTGTTCGCTCATCTCTCTCTCTCTCTCTCTCTCTCTCTCTCTCTGTACATCTATATATATATATATATATATATATATATATATATATATTTATATGCGTTACGCTCCCTCGGTAGACATACGGCTTGCACATACATACACATGCACATATATATATATATATATATATATATATATATATATCGAGGGCGCTTACGGCGAACCACACCCTGCCTTTTGGAAACATCATGCGGCCAAGCGTTGGACCAAAGTCGGGCCAAGCTATTGCACTCTGCTCCCCAAGCCGTTGTGGACTCCCTTGGGGTAACACATAGTAAAGAGAGGGGAAGGAGGATGATATCCAGGACGGGATGAGGCAAAACGAGGCCTCTCGAGGCCGGCTATGGCTTTCTGGGGGGGGAGTCTTTTGAGCCTCGTGGAGGCCTCTGAGGAGCATCTTCTGACAGGTGCGAAAGTTTCATTACATTGCGAACGCGCCATTGTCAATGCGAGCCGCCTTACTTGGCGAGGCGGTCTCCCTGGCGGTGGTGTAATTCCTGCACGCTCGACGGCAGTTCGCGGCCGCCGACGACGACGAGGACGACGGAATCCTCGCCGATCCGTCGTGGAGCCAAGCAGGAAATCTGTGAACTCACACGGCGTCGTCAAATTTGCAGCGTCGGACCCCCGTGGATCCATCGTGGAACCAAGCAAGAGGCTTGTAAACTTCTACTTTGTCGTTAACTTTCAACGTCGGAGCCATCGTGGGACCAAATTGGAACGAAGCAGTGACCTTTTACTTTCACAGGGTTTCGTGGACTTGCAACGTCGGAGCCATCGTGGAACCAAATTACCGTGGAGCCAAACTGGACCCCAGCAGGAAGCTTGGGAATTCGCACGGTTTCGTAAAATTTGAATCATCTGAACCATCGTGCAAACAAGGCGGAATCATCGCCCTCGGACGCCAGACCCGGAAGAACGACAGGATGAACGAGGGCGTGCTCGCCAGCCCTCCTCCTATTATCCGGTTGCGCTGCCGCGTTCCGCCACCGCGCTTGGGCATGACGCCCGGCGGGGTGGGGGCAAAAGGCCGGGGAGTGGCTGGAGGAGCGCCCGGCGGGGGCACACGCCATGTTGGGTCCGATGCGTCGGGTGCACGAATTCTCTTGCGCAGCAAGAAGCGATATTTTTCCAAAGTCGACGGCCCAACGCGCACGAACCTCTTCAAGCGCGGTTGCGGACCTTCTTCAGGAAGCAGTTAGTAATTTTTTCATCTGGTAGAATCCCGCACCCTGGAAGCGCGACCTTGGTCCCCCCTCTCAGGAGTTTCATGGCCTTTCCACAAGGTCCTGAAAGCAACGGTGGTTCTCGTCGAGGCGTGAACCTGGAGCGTCGAGGTTCGAGTCCTTGTGGCCTGCGGGAGCTATCATCGCCGTCGCCACGTGCGGGCGCAGCTCGGAAAACTAGCGTGTTAGACTCCGAGAAGACTCCGCGGATGATTTGGGGATGAGGAGAACGAGGGTGAGGAGGACAGAAGGAGGAGGGAGAGGAGGATGAAAAGGAGGAGGAAGAGGAGGAGGAGGAGGGGAAGGAGGAGGAGGAGGAGGTGGGGGAGGAGGACGAGGAGGAGAAAGAGGAGGAGGAGCAGGAGGACGAGGGAGATGAGGAGGATGAGGAGGAGAAGCAGGAGGAGAAGCAGGAGGACGAGCAGGAACAGGAGCAGAAGCAGGAGAAGCATTCGCAGGAGCAGGAACAGAAACTGGAGCCTGTTACGGCTGGGCGGGCAAGCTCTTGCTCATTTGTGGTTGGCCGGCTCCTTCGGGGGGCTCGGCTTCCGCCACCGGCCGCGAAGCCGAAGTCTAGAGGGGGGAAAGGGGTGCGGTGCAAAAAGGTATGGTTCAATGGGGCGGTATGGTGATTTTATGGTTGATGTGGTTCGCTTTGGAGCCGATGCGCAATATTAAGATGTGCATGCGTTCGTGGTTGCAGTTGTTCTCGCACTGCAGTTCTGGCGCATCCAAGCGATGGTGGCCAATTGGCCATTGATGCGATGCCTCTTTGTTTGCTCGGCTGTTTGGTTTTGCTCGTGTTTGTGCGCGCCTGGTGTGCAGTGCTGCCCTGTTACTGCCGACAACATGGTCCCATGAGAAAAACAATTATTCTCAGCTCTCTCACCCTTCTCTCCCTGGCCTTGATCGCCCTATACAGGTCTGTCCTCATATGCGCCTCGCCGCCCTCCATCCCCACCCAACGTATGAGTTGATCCGCTGTCGTTTCGCTTTCCATGCGGGCATGAGGTCGTCGCGCGCGGCGCTGTACAGTTGGCAGCGATACCCTTCTGAATTATGTTTGCAGTCGTCGGCGACGTCTTTTTGTCAATGGCTGCCGCGGTAGCATTGCACGGTGGCTGTCGTTTCGGCGATTGCGCATGGGTGATAACAGGCTTTGTCGTTACCGCGATTGCCATCATCAGTGGTCTACGACCCCCAGCGCGCAGCATTGGGTCTCGTCGAATTTTTTCTCGCTCGCGATCCCCCCCCCCCCCCCCCGCGCACGCGCGCATTCCCGCTACAGCGCTTGGTGGCCTGATTGGGGACTCCTTCGAAGGTGTCAGCGGTAGAACTCGCGCGCGGCTCACGGCGGCGCTTCGCGGCCGCGCATGGGGCTCCACCGACAGCAACAGCGGTAGATCTCGCATGCGCCCCCCTCGCCCAGCGCACCGCTTCGAAGCCCAAAGCGAAGCGCCGCCTAAGGTCCCAGCGGCGGAAACCGCATGCGCTTCCCCCATTCAGTGCAGCGCGCGGTGCACTGCGAGCTCCACCGATTGCCCCGGCGAGGGAATTCGAGTGCGTTTCCCGCGCCCACCACGGCGGTTCATGGACCCATGGGGGGCCCCATCGAAGGCCCCAGCGTTAGAATTCGCTGCGGTTTCTCTATCCCGCGCAGCGCTTCGTAGCCCCATGGGGGTTCCACCGCGGGCCCCAGCGGATGCGCTCGCATTCGTGCATCCAACCACGCACAACGCCTCGCGGGCCCATGGGGATCCCGAGCTTTGACGATGCCTCTTCGGCGGAGTTGCAGAAGTCGCGCGGTCGGGTCTCTCGCCAGAAAACTAACTTTGAACGCAAATTTTGGCGCCGCGGGCGCATCCGTGATGAGATGCCGCCCAAGGAGATCTGGCTAGGCTCGTTCGCGCTTCTCCGGCGTTTCCTTGGCGGAGCTTCTCTTGGACACGAAGGCGCGCAACGCGGTGGCCGCCTCTTCTGACAACTCTGAGGCCCTAGGGGTCTGGCTTTCAAATTGTGGAATTTCGAATTTTTCGCATTGGAATTTCGGAATTTCCGGAATTTCGTTTTTAAAATTTCGGAATTGCCGAAATTTCGTTATTGTTCAAATTTCGGAATTTCCGGGATGTCGTTTTGCTTGCGAAAAAAAAACGTTTTGAAATTTCGGAAATTCTGGATTTATTATTTTATATATATACACACACAAAAAACAGGAGTTCGGAAATTTCGTTCTTGATTGTTCGGATTCTAGTTGGCGCAAGCATGATATATTCATGCGCAGTTGCGTGCGATCGCAGCGTAGGCAGGCGCCGGCGGATGGGGGGCGCAGGGAAACCCTCGGTGGCGGAGGGGGCAGATAATGGAAGTGCGTCTGAGAGACCAGTCGGCGCTCTAGACTGCAGCGTGGCGAAGTCACAGAAGTAAATGTAGGGAAATTGCGGGGCGCGCCAAACATGTCTCGCACTGTGCTTTTACAGGGCAGCGCAGTTCAGCGCACCTATTGCGATGATTGTTTCGCGGGCGGGGGGTGGAGGTTGAGCGTCGAAACAGAGGCCGCCCCACATCGCAGTTCTGGCACGGCGCCAGATTGAAATCGCCGCGGGTGCCGTTTTGACTTCCAGGGCCCTCTTCGGCGGACGTTTGAGCAACTTGCAGAGTCCTATGCTTCCCCGCGCCCTGCCCCCAGCGCCTGCCCGGCCCATTCGCGCCCGCTTGCTGCGGACCTTTGCCGCAACACCGAAATTCGCATGTTCTTTTGCGCCTAGCAAGGCCAGCCCGAGGAAACACCGATGCGGCCGCTCACGCCCCCCTGTGGAACTTCGCCGAAACAGCCCGACCAGTGACACATGATATTCCGCGCGTTGCGCCCCGTGGTCCAGTGGCCGACCGAGTGGAACTTTCTTTCGTGGGCCATGCAAGTCGGGGAGGGAGCGCGCGCGAGGTCTCTGCTCGTCGCCGGGCTGCAAAGTAAAAGGGCGCATGTTGATGTGCCTGATTATTAGCTCTACGCGGCCACGCATTCTTGCGCTCGGCGTCACGTCCAGTTCGCGCTTTCCATTCAGCGCGTTCAAACGAATCCGACGACGGGGGGCGGACTCCCAGCGTCCGTTTCGCCCCCCGTGACAGAGTCTCGCGGCCCAGGCTTGCCGCGCGCGCCCACGCGCGCGGCGCGGCCAGGGGAAGGTAAATAGGAAGTAATGTTTCCTTTGGAAAGCGGCAGGGCAATTGCGCGGGGGGGCGGCGCAACAGGAAGGATCGGTAGAAGAGGGTCTTCCGCATTTTGACGAGTCGGGGGGGGGTCATGTTCGCGGGCCTTCTGGGGCACCGAGCGTTTCCCGCGATCCGACGTTGGGCTTGCGCGGAACACCTTCTCAACGCGATGATTGCGTCAATCGCGCCAATGCTTCTGATTCACGCTTGTGTGACGCACTGGAGTTCCACGTCCGTTTTTGCATTGCCATCCGATCGTTTGTTTACCCCTTGCATTCATTCCCACCTTGCCCTGGCAGCAGTGCCAGCGTTGCTTTGGACGCGGCCGCGCGCGTCGCAGATGGCAACGCAGTGAGGTCGCCCATATCGTTGTTTCCATGGGCATGCAGGGCGCCCACACCACGCCCCTTTTACACCGCGCCCTTTTCCATCTTCTA